TCCTGCGCTCCGCGATGTCCCTCCTGCTGTGTCCCCAGCAATGTCCTCCAGCTGATGCCGGCATCTGTCATCTGGGTTCTGTCCTCTGCGACGTCGGACGTACGGGGGACGGAATGGCGGGAAATTTGAAAATGACAAAAGTGACATTCACTAAATACACTAAAATCACATAGTAAAACATTACTGTACCAAACCATTTCACATACATTTTGTCCCGAGTGCTTTGTTCTGTGCCCTGCCTGCATTTTTACTGTTCTTTCTGCCTGGAAACCGAGAAAAGTCCATGGCATCCAAAAAGCGCCCCTTTTAGGTCAAAAGAGGTTTTAGGTCAGCTAGAGAACAGTGATAGTAAATCAGAACCACTTGCAGAATTGAGTGATAATGATTCGTGGGGAAATTCGTCATCAGACACTGAAAATGATTTTGCGACTTTGCTCAGTGATGTGCGAACTTGGCGCTATATTTCAAATTTCAGTGTTTTTTTGGTTTGATTATATTATTGAATTAAATTTATTATTTTTTATGATTATTAAATTATAATTTATGATTTCGTGTTTCAAATTTTAACATACCCGGGATGTTTACTAGACTCTTGTTCGGACAGATTTCAGTGAGTTATTCCTAAAAATTACAGGCCTACAATAAAAAAAATACATATTTCCATGCAAAAAAATGTACCTCTTTGAGCACAGAAATGTGGACATAATCAGACCGCTAGGGAGGTTAAGAGAAAGTGAAACCAGAACTATTCATTTTTAGCAAGTTGGCAAGAGTTAGCCGGGTGCTCTTTGCAGAACCAGCCATGGCTCAAAATGAATGCCACCTACATCCAGCTTTAGGACCCTCGGTTTTTATTGTTGTTTTCATATTGGCTTGGTAGATTTTTATATAATTTCCTGTCCTTGGGACTTGGTTTGGGCAGAAATTAAGTATAATTCTTCCATAGTTCCACTTTGTCTATTTCAGGCTTTTGATAGCTCTAACCTTTTATGGTCACCATTTGACAGGTTTCTACATGAGCCCTTCAGTCTGATATTTAGCATCCCCTACTAGCAAGGGCTAGGCAGGGTAGGGATTCCTTAATGGTCAATGACAAGTGCTTGCTGCCCTGAGAAGTCCCTCGATTGTACACATTTTCTGAAATATCAGCAAACCTGTGTAAGCAGTTGTTGAATAGGAAGGAAATGCCAAGTGCCTAAGCAGCGGCTGCTGGCCAAATCTTTATAGCATTTTTTCAGTAGACCATAAATTTGTCATTGTCTGTCTGTAAAATGGTTCAGATTGATAGTTTTGTATTGTCAGGGAAAAAAAAAACTAGTTCTGTTTTGGGCTGGTGAAATATAAGCGCCACTTCCCAAATACTTGTATTGCCAATGGGAATAAAAGTATAACAAATTTTGTGTGCATAGGTAGGTAGGTTCAAAAAGATCTGTGTAACAAAGTTCATATTTGATTTGTTCCATCAATGTTTAGCCTCAACCACCCACTATTCAGTGCACTTAAAGTGGTTGTAAAGCCTGCATGTTTTCATGCATGAAGGTAAAAAACCTGTGTTCTGTTCACCCCCCAGCACCTACAAATACTTACCTGAACCTGATATCGATCCAGTGTTGTGCATGGGGAGTCTTGGCTCTCCCAGGTATCTCTCTCCTCATTTGCTGAGACACAGCAGAGGGAGCCATTTGCTCCAAGTGCTGTCCAGTGCTTGTCACTGAGGAGCGAACGGAGGCAGGGCTGAGCTATACTCTGTCTTGGACACACAGAAGCGGCTGGGGGGTGATCACGCACAAGTGCCTTGCTCTGGAGGCACTCAGCAGAGGGGGAGGGACCTGAGAAGGGAAGGATCGGGGCTGCTTTTTCCAAAGCCCCTGCGCAAAGCAGGTAAGTATGCCATATTTTCCAAACCAGATCCTTTTAGTATCACTTTAAATACCCGCAGCGAGGTAAGAAGAATTCTCTGGTCAAAAATCTGCTTCATCAAGGGACACAGGAGCTTTACAATATGGGCTTTCAGAGTATATAAATGGGGTCCCAGACCATCAGAGCTCACATATATACATTGATAGCTATGAGCAACTGAAGTCCTACTGTTTAAGATCAGTGATAAATGTTATGGTACAGGTTTATGATTTTTATACATGTATTTGTCACCTTAAAAGTCCCGTTGTCCTAAGAAGGATTTATTATCGGAAGGTGACCGTAGTATATGGAGCAAGAACATACAGGAAAGTATACTTGAATCTGCATATGTTTTAGCTATATGTTGGAGCCCAGAGGTATAGGGCCTCAGGTATATGATGGTTCACATTCTTGATCCAAATAAAGTGAGACCTTGGCTTGCTACAGTACAGGGTTAATCCATCAACTAAACATGGAAATGCCAGTTCAAACAGCGCAACCTAATATTGTTATTATTATTATACAGTGTTTATATAGCGCCAAAAGGTTTACTCAGTGCTGTACATTAAAGTGGGGGGACAGTACATGAGACAAGACAGTAACAATACAATACATGAGGGGTTCGAGGGCCTCGCTCTTTCACGCTTACAACCTAATATTTAGATCCCACCTATCCTCCGGTCCTCCTAACATCCAGTTTCTATACAGTGTCCTAGTGGGAACTGCATCGGTGACCCGGCACAGAAAGTGCTTCTCATGTAGCCACTGTGCTGACATATAAGACAGACATATATATTTTTTTTGTCTAACAGCTTCCTTTTTTTTTATTAACTGTTTTCTACGTATCAAGAGACCCCTTCTGTATATTTATCCTGTTTTTATCTTTTTAATTGTCTCCTGTTATAAAACATTCCTCACTTGCCTTTGACTTGTTCAAAAGCTGCATCTGGCTCAGACATTACCAGGTCTTCTGAGATGAAGCTGAATGCAAAATGTTTTCCATTAGCACTGAGGGGAAACCACAGAAGTAAAGCAGTAATTCTTGGAGACTGAATCTACGTCTTCGTCTCCTTGGAAACAGGCAGGGAAATCCGTTAAAAATAATTCTCCTCAGATTTCTTTCATCAAGATGCCTCCCTCGATTCCCTGTTTTTCTCACAGCACTCTTTATTTACGTGAAAATCCTGCCTAGGCGCTAGTGGGATACGTTTTTTCAATCTATTCATGCTCGCTAAAGCCGTGTTAATTAGTACCGAACCTGGATCACAAATACAATTAAGCTTGAAGTGTGGTTTGTGGAAATGGCAACATACAGAAAAAAAGGTGTTGATCTATAAAATAGTTTCCTAACAATTTAATTGATCTACTTGTTTTTGTTGCTGTACAGACAGGGTAAAGAGTGTTGAATGCCATGATTGAATGCCCCTATCAAAGTCGCTTTTGTCTTGCTTGGGGTTCCCTGTCTGTTCCCATGGTGACGAAGATGCATTTCCTGTTTCTGAGGGCCATGGCTGCCTCTGATTCAGGCTTCTGTGGTTTCATTCACCACTAATGGGAAAGCATTCACAGGCTCAATTGCTTCCTCTTTTGACAAGCTCAACTTCAGAAGAGAGAGAGAAAATCTAATCAGGCTGTCCATGTATTGATCGGGATATCTTTTTAGAGTATGATCTTACATAGGTTTTACTGCTTTGTAACCAGGCTATTTATGACATCATAATCTGAAAGTTGATTGAGAAGATTTTTGTTGCTTATTGTTTTAGACCAAACCTTTGTGCCCCCACCAAGCAGTTACCTTCCAGATGCTGTACATGCCAGCTTTGCTCCCCTGTGCCACATCTGACTTGGGTTTCCCTGTAATGTGCCACCAGCTTCAGAAGTTGCTCGGTGACCTACCACTGCCATATTAATGGCTATTGAGGCCACAGTTATGGATCAGTATGAAGGACCGAGAAACCCAAGATCAGTAACCACAAAACATGGTTGTTACAGAGCTCCTTGGGTTTTTGGTGGTACTTTGCTATACAGAGGAGCAAAACTGGCATGCAGACATTTGGAAATAATGGACATTATCGGGGGGGGTGGGAAAGGTTTTGACTGGGATCACCAGCCATTGTGTGTTGTGGTCTCATGACGTGATTACTATGTCATAGTTGATATGGAACTCGCTCAGATTGGTTCCTGATCATAAGTGAATTGAAGTGATCTGTGACATCCAGGACTGATATCCACCAATCGGCTGATGGCACTCAAAGGAAGAATATTTATAAACTTCTCCCCAGCCCAGGGTATAATGCTGGGGAACATTCATCTACCAGAATGCTGGTGGCAATAAGCACACTTCGGAATTGGATCGTGCATATAAATACTTTGTTAAACCATTTCCATACCGGGCACTTTTACCCCCTTCCCTCCCAGGCCATTTTTCAGGTTTCAGCGCTCACACTATGAATGACAATTGCGCGGTCATACAACATTGTACCCAAACTTGTGCTTAGCTGTGATTTGGCCACAGCTAATCACATGACAAATTTGCATGTGATCGCTGTGACCATTCACAGCTAGACACTAGTATACAATGTATGGCATGAATTTAGCCATCCATTGTATACAACTGTCATGTGACCTGCTGTGATTGGTCACATGGTACCGGCAACGGGGTCCGGTACTCAGATCTGTCATTGGCTGTGTCCGATGTACACGGCCGGTGACAGATTGCGCCACTGCTCTGCTCAGGGCAATGCGCAGTTTTCGCGCTTGCAGGAGTACGCCATATGGTGTCCACCCGGAAATCTACAGCATTTTGCCAGCCGCCAAACGGCTATTGGCCGGGCAGCTATTGGTTAATAAAAAAGAAAAAGAAAAGCTTCTTTTGGAAGGAGGGGTTTAGTAAATTATTCCTACTGGAACTTCTTTGTAATTGTGGACTAACCTGCTGGTGGTCAATTTTGGTATTTGATGGTACAGTTACATATGCTTTTTTTTTGTGGAGGATATGTTCCTTCTGAAACTTTTTTTTTTTGTCAAAACTGAATATTACCTATTTTTGGTTGTAGTATGAGATAAACCTGATCTATTTTTTTCCCTCTCTTCAATTCTAGGACTCAAGTCAAGTTGGAAAGTCTGGAAGATGCCTATGTTCTGTCGGGATCTGACGATTCTCTATCAGACAAACATGGTTGTCCAGCCTACGTTAGTCCAGAAATCCTGAACACCAGTGGCAGCTACTCTGGCAAGGCGGCTGATGTATGGAGTCTAGGTGTAATGCTGTACACCATGTTGGTTGGACGATACCCATTTCATGACATTGAACCTAGCTCTCTATTCAGTAAAATCCGTCGCGGCCAGTTTAACATTCCAGAGGCATTGTCACCCAAGGCGAAATGTCTCATACGTAGCATTCTTAGACGGGATCCGTCAGAAAGGCTTACATCTCAAGAAATTCTGGACCATCCCTGGTTTTCCACAGATTTCAATGCATTGAATTCAGGATATGGTGCTAAGGAAGTTTCAGATCAACTGGTGCCTGATGTCAATATGGATGAGGAAACGGACCCCTTTTTTAATTGAGCACAAAACTTTCCTTTTTCGGTACTTGAGCTGAACGTGGCCACATGAAGGAGTCCTTCCGGACTATAGTATTTGAAATCCGTATTGTTTCAGACGGTCACTTTGAAATATGCTGCTCTGGACTCCTTGGTTTTGAGAAGACGGTTCTGCAAGAAACTATTCTACAGATGTAGCATTGAGGCTGCTATACAGTTTATCTAGGTTATTTTTTATTTTTTTTTGTTTTTCTTTTCGTTTTGGAAATCGGCATGGATCAGTTGTAGCTTCACCCTCTATGGAGCCAAGGAGACTGCACAAGCCAATTCCAGTGCAGCTTTGTCACTCCTGTTAATACAGTTTTATCAATGTTTTGCCATGCACATCCTGGCATCGCACTGTTATTATTTTTTTTTATTTTTTTTGTGCCATTGTTCAGGGAAGGTACAATTGGCTATTACTTTTTTATACCTGTGCCAAAGTGGTACAGCAAGCTATAGAAAAGTAAAACTTGGTTGGGTGCACTGACATTAAACGTAGGTGCTAAAACTTAGAATGACTTTTATTTTTGTTCAGTTTTCCCAATTTTAAACACTTGTTTTGTCCAGTTACAAACTACTTAATATTCTTGTCAGGAAATGACTTTGTTCCCTTGTAGGGAAACCATTCATTTAACAAGCTGATTCTGTTTTTTTTCATAACTGGTTTGCTATAGGAAGCTCTTATTATTTAAACTTCCACATGCATTATTTTTGCAGTGCTAACGCGTGAAGAATTTTACCTTTTGGAAAGCTAAAACAGGGTTTTGATCTACTGGTTTCTATATTGGCCATCTTGCACTTATAGCCAGGATCATATTAGTAAAAGCTATTATAGCCATTCTAAAGGGTGTTCTCACAGTAACCTTTGTTTTTCTGGTTTAAATATTTTGTTTTTGTCTCCATCGCATTCCCTCCTTTTCTGCCCTTGTTTTTTTTTTTTCTCCCCCTTTCCATTTCCTTTTTTCCTTTTTATTCCTTTGAAAAAAGTTGACGCTTTTTTTTTTTTAACATTTCGTGGGAAATCGTTTTATAAGCTCATAACTACCCTTTAGCCCCTGCACGGACATGCATTAAAGTGCACCTTTTTGTATTGTCAAATTATTTATTTTCATGCAAATTATCACAGTTGTGATGTATTAAGCCAGTACTTCAATTAAATTACGGGTTGACTTACAATGACATATTACATGCTGTGCTTAACACTTCTTCCTCTTTTTCTGTGTTTTTTTTTTTTTTTTTTTGTTTTTTTTTTTAGTCGCTTGTTATAACTCAAACTGACATTTCTTCCCACCTTTACCAACTCTCTTGCTATATAATGAAATATAAGCATAAATATTTGTGTTTTATCCCGTACCTCAGTTGTTCTGATTAAACTGCTTGTATCTGTTTTGTGAAATGGTTCAAGTTTTTGGGTAGGTACATGTAGACTCTGTAAGTATGTAATTGTTACTTGAATTTGTGCTTAACTGTAGTATGTGGCATGTACGTACAGCTACTTGGCATTTGAATTCTGGGACACTGTTTGCCTGCCCTGTGGGAAGACTTTATTTTGTAATTTTTTTTTTTTTTTTTTTGTATTTTTTTTTTTTTTCTTCCAGCTATAAAATACAAAACAAAACTGTGGCTGACCCTGGTTCTATTTTTTGGTACTTTTAGTACAGGTGGAGTGGTATTAAACACTCAAGATGGTGCTGTGTCAGAAGGACTTTAATTTTCCCCCCTTCTGTTCCTAAATGCCCACATTATTATTTTCCCTACAAGTCCCCCACCTTTTTAATCCCTTATACAAAGAACGACTGGTGATAAAATGCATGGTGGGGTATTATCGCCTCTGGTGCTTTGAATGTTATGTATTTGGTTTATTGTTTTTGTCCTAATCTCTTCAATAAATTGTGCATATTTAACTAAAAGCCATTTTGGTCTTTTGCCTTGAGCTTTACCCCTGAAATCATTCCTTATAGGTCATTCTCCATAATGGCATGTAACCCAAGTGATTGTACCTGGCTACATGTTATAAACCTCTTGGGACAGGTTTTTGGGGATGTTATCTCAACATCTTCTGTCCATAGCAGGACTCCTTTATTTTTGTTCAGTATCTGTTTTAGATCTGCAAATAAGAGAGAATAGGAGATTTACAGTATGTGTATCTTTTTTCCATGTGACAAAGTTCATATTGATATTGCATTTATGCCAACCAGCTATGACGTTAGCCATGAAGGTTAAGTGAATAACATTGATTATCTTGTTACAATGGCATCTGAAAGTTGGTGGGATATATTAGACAAGTGGATATGTTGCTCCTGAAGTTGAAAGGAGAAAAAAGTGGGCATTGTTTGTGTATGGGGCTACGTAGCTGCAAGACCGGTCAGGGTGCCATGCTGACCCGTGTCCAAAGCCAAAAGCGAATACAATGGGCACATGACCATCAAAACTGAACCACTGACCAATGGAAGAAGGTGGGCTGGTCTGATGAGTCACATTTTCTGTCACATCATGTGGAAGGCCAGGTGCTTGTGTGTCTCTTACCTGGAGAAGAGATGGCACCAGGATGCTGTATTGGGAAGAAGGCAAGCCAGAGGAGACAATGTGATGCTTTCGCCAATTTTCTGCTGGGAAACCTTGGGTTCTGCCATTTGTGTGGATGTCACGTGACACCACCTACCTAAACATTGATGCTGCAAAAATGGTTTAAAGATGGTTTGAGGAACACAGTGGGGTTTATTTACTAAAAGTGGAGTGTGCAAAATCTGTTTCAACTCTGCATAGAAACCAGTCAGTTTCCAGATTTTATTGCCAAAGCTTATTTGAACAAGCCGAAGTTAGAAGCTGACTGGCTACCATGCACAGCTACACTAGATTCTGACTAAACCAGTTTTAGTAAATCCACCTCCGTGTGTTTTTGAGGTGTTGACCTGGCTTTCTTATTCTCCAGATCTCAATTCAATTGGGTATCTGTGGGATGTGCTGGAAAAACCATTCTAATCCATGGAGTCCCCACCTCACAACTTACAGGACTTTAAGAATCTGCTGCTGATGACTTGCTGCCAGGTACACAGCATGCCTTCAGAGATCTAGTAGTGTCTGTCTTAAGGAGGACCTACTCAATATTAGTTGAGTGGTCATAAAGATATGGTTGATTGTTCTACATTAGTTGCAAATAGGATTTTTAGACCGTGTTGTGTTTTTTTTTTTTTTTTTTTTGGCTTTTTTTTCAGCTTGGCCTTTACTGCCTTATGTGATTGGGTTCACTACATATTAAAGCCTAAGTTATTGTCATGGTTATGACTGATTGTTGCACATGTATCGTATCTTTGAAATTGTTCAATTTTAAAATGGTGTGATGGTATTACTCTTTCAGGAAATTGGTTTGGGAGGTAATAGTGGGAGTAGGCACATGTAATGCCAGGTAAACAGTAGGAATCTGACAGAGGTTGTAGTACTGGGCAGTCAGGTATCTACTGTGTAGCATTCCTTTGCAGACAGAGTAGTCATTTGCTTAACCTGTGATACAGGCACTCTGCAACAAAACAGTCCTACATCTGCCAATGGGTTGTTTTTAGGGAATGCCAAGAACCAATGGAAATTCAACACCGCACTCTAGATACAGCACGAACAATGAAAATGTGAAAGTATGTATGTGAAAATTTTATCTTTATGCCTTTTACACTTAGAACAGGTAAGGTTTGATGGAATGTGTTTAGGAGTGTGTCTATGGGGATGTTTTGACTATTCTTCCAGAAGCACATTTGTGAGGTATGACACTGATGTCGAATGAGGCTGCCTGGCTCACAGTCTCCACTCTAATTCATCCCAAAGGTTTTCTATCGGGTTAGGGTCAGGACTCTGTGCAGGCCAGTCAAGTTCCCCCACCCCAAACTCGCTCATCCATGTCTTTATGGACCTTGCTTTGTGCACTGGTGCACAGTCATGTTGGAACAGGAAGGGGCCATCCCCAAACTGTTCCCACAAAGTTGGGAGCATGAAATTGTCCAAAATGTCTTGATATACTGACACCTTAGGTGTTCCCTTCACTGGAACTAAGGGGCCACACCCAACCCCTGACAAACAACCCCACACCATAATCCCCCCCCAAACTTTACACTTGGCACAATGCAGTCACATAAGTACAGTTCTCCTGGCAACCAAACCCAGACACGTCCACCAGATTGCCAGATAGAGTAGTGTGATTTGTCACTCCAGAGAACGTCTCCACTGCTCTAGAGTCCAATGTCAGCGTGCTTTACACCACTGCATCCGATGCTTTGCATTGCACTTGGTGATGTAAGGCTTGGATGCAGCTGCTCGGCCATGGAAACCCATTCCATGAAGCTCTCTACACACTGTTGTTGTGCTAATGTGAAGTTTGGAGGTCTTTAGCTATTGACTCTGCAGACAGTTGGTTACTTCTGCGCACTGTGCCCTTTAGCATGTGCTGACCCCACTCTCTCATTTTACATGGCCTACCACTTCATGGCTGAGTTGCTGTTGTTCTCAGTTGCTTCTACTTTGTTATAATCCCACTAACAGTTTACCGTGGAATATTTAGTAGAAAGGAAATGTCACGGATGGACTTATTGCACAGGTGACAACCTATCACAGTACTACGCTTGAATTCATTGAGCTCCTGAGAGCGACCCATTCTTTCACAAATGTTTGTAGAAGCAGTCTGCATGCCTAGGTGCTTGAATGTATACACCTGTGGCCATGGAGGTGATTGGAACACCTAAAACCAATGAATTGGAGGGGTGTCCCAATACTTTTGGTAATATTTTGTGTGTTTGTGTTTTATATGGGGTCACATTTGTGACCCTGCCAATGCACCGGGGCCCCATGCAGCCTTCCTCTCATGTCACTGTCACCTATAGTGCAGAGCGTGTTTGTGTGTGAACAGTGAGGTCACCTGAGAGGCTGGTAGCTGCCATGGGACGGGGCCGATGAGAGCAGGAGTAGTCTGCTTCCTTGCTGTCCATGCCCCTCTGTAAG